TTATTATTATTATTATTATTATTATTATTATTATTATTTATTGTTGTTGTTATTATTACTGTTATCATTAAGTTCATCATTATCATCACTGTCATTGTTACTGTCAATATTTTTACTATTAATACAGTACTGAACCGTGATTTGCTTAGTTGAACAATTAATGCAATATCGAATCATGATACTATTAGTACAGTATTGGCCATGATACTATTAATACAGTATTGAACTATGATTTTGCTTATGATTCGCTCAGTTGTTTTTTTTAAATATTATCGGAACAATTTTTAAATAACCAAATTCCAACCCATTGCTTTTTAGTTTTGTTAATGGTAATTGCATGTACTGACGTTTCATATAACACCAATAATGTCAGACTTTTTTAATTAACAATCATTTCATTAAATCAATAATTTATTTTAAAAGCTGAAAAACTTGCTTTTTTTTTCTTGCACGATTATTTTTTCGATTATACACATTTGCATGCATTTTGCATTCCTTGCAGTATTTACAAATTTACATAATTGTAAATTTTTGTACAACTTCTTTCTTTTTTTTCCTTACTATACAACCAAATTTTGCAGACAATTTTACATATTTTGTATGAAATGATAAACTTACTTTGTCACATTCCATCCTTTATCATTCATTCATATTTTGCCATAAAATTAAATTATTAAATTATAAAATTTAAAAGGATAAGAAAGCTTATAGAAAATCAATTTGTAAACTGTTGTTTTAACATACTGAAATTGACAACATATCATAATTTCTCTTTCCTTCTTTTTCTCCACTTTTTTTTCTTTTTTTTTTTGCTCCTAAAATGCAAAAGTGCAAGAAATGAAAGTAGAAGAAATAAAATTTGTACTATAGTTTGTGCATCAATAAAAAATGAGAGAGAAAATTTTGAAAAGAAACGGAAAACTTTTTTAAAATCAGAAAAAGAAAACAAATAGCTTTAAATATATTTAAATAATATAAATGTATATTAGTTATAGTTTCGGCGATATTAAAAAAATATTCGTACAAAAAAAAAAATTAAATAAAAAAAGCGAAAATAAATCTTTTTTTTCTGTAATTATTATTTAAAGAAAAAATTTTTAATTTTCAAATTTTTTATTTTTTGCAAAATATAAATTTATCAAATAATTTTACGATTTGAAAATATAAAAAAATGATTTGAAAAATTTTAGTATTTTATAATTTTACATTTAATAGAAAAAATAGCAAAATGTTGAACAAATGCAAATTCTGAAATGAATGGTAATATATTCATAGCGTTGTGAAATGGTGGAAAAACAGTTAATGAATCTTTGAAGAATCATTCTGACTTGCAAATTTGATTATAATTTCATTTTTATTTTTTCTAATCTTAATTTTATTCTTGTAAAGATTATTTCAATTGATGATAAAAATGGTTGAATTTTTTGTAATTTTGTCAACAATATATGCCAAATATGGACAATGAATCATTTTTGAATAATTTAAAATATTACAAAAATTTTTGAAATAAAATTTAAAAAAAAGGAGTAAGAAAAATTTAATTTAGGACTAAATGAGGCATATGAATATAATGATATTGTCATGATATATATTTTGGGATGTTACAATACATATTGAAATTTATTCATTGATATTATATCAATAATAGAATAAAAACAAATTAAAATTAACAATAAAAAGACAAAGAATATGTGCTATAAAAGAATTAACGATTTTTTTTGACACCAATTTTTGTTAAAAAAAAAAATTGATTTATTATAAATTGAATTGTGAAATTTTTTGAAAAAAAAAGCAAAAGCAATTTTTTTTTTTAAAATAATTCAGTTATTTTCAAATTTTTGCATGCAAATTATGCAGAATTTCGGTGTAAATAAATTTATTTGCACAAAAATTATTTGAAGGAAAAAGCAAAAGATAAACAAAAAAAAATTGAAGAAAAATGAAATTATTAAAAAATGACAAAAATAAAAGATAGAAATCACTTTGTAAATGTAACAATTTGAAAAATGATAAAATAATTGAAATGATTTAATCAATTTGAGAAAAAAATTACATATTAGTAAAAATTTTTAAATATAAACAGAATTTACATAAAATCAATTCTTTTTCTTTTTTTTTCGTTTTTTCAACAAAAAATATATTTAATGTAGTATTATGAGGTATGGAAAATTATATAATAAAGTTAGATTTTTTTTCTTGCAATTTCATATACAATAATTCGATCCGTATCTTTTTAATTCAAAATAATTAGTAAATTAATTAAGTGGATTAATTGAAACGTATAAGATAAGTTGCAAAATCGGTTGGTTTTAGGAGAAATGTCACCATTTGATAATGCATTTCCTTGCTAATTTGCTTGATACCATTCAATAATGTTTTTTGCACCGTTTTTACACCAATTGATTGCATATATTTTTTTAACGCTAACTGAAATTTGTTCATACAGTAATCATTTTTGAGAAATAATTGGCGGTACAAATTACGATATTACAATGCGAAACATTTGAATATGGAATACGGTTTTCCTGCAAAAAGGATTAAGTTTAAATTAAAGATTAAAATTAAAAATTTAAAATTATGATTTAATTTCTAAAATTCAGTATTTTCCAAATAACGCAATCCATCCATGAGAAAATTCATACTTTTTGAAAACTTTGATAATAGGTTTGATTGGGTTAATCATTTTATATGAAATTTCAGTTAAAATTGTGATAAAAGTTTTAGAAAAATTGTTAAAAAGACTTTCAAGATTCTGTATAATCTCAAATTTTCAAAAAAAAAAAATCACAAACCCTTAAAGAATGAATTAATTAGATGGATTGGATTTTTCATCGCTTTAAATTTTTCGTTCAAATCATTAATCAATAATTAAAAGTTCTAGTAAATTAAACTAAAAAGCACTATTTTTTTTTATTTTTATATTTCCAATATATTCATTGATAGTTTATTATTACACTTATTATTTTATTAAATATACTTATTATAAAGTATGAGTAACGAACATGAATAATTTTTGTCTCAAAAATATCTGCTAAGTATAAAGCTTACATCAAGTTTGTTTCCGCGACATATCGGAGGATCTAAGCTAGTACAATCAATTCCCACTCGATACAATATCATTAATCGCCGATTTATATCGGATATTAGAGGACGGATTGTCAATAGTTGTACATCACATGGGAATGATTGATGAAAATGAAATGGTGAATTCGCAAGAATTCCTGAAATTTTTGTCATATTTTTTTATCTTCCAATCAATGAATTCATATTTGTCGTTGAATGACAACAAAATTTTGAAATTATCAATCTTTTTTTTTATTTTGTTTAAAATTTCCATTATTTATTAGTTAAATAACATTTGAAATGAAACATTGTTAATGTTAAAATGATACATTCATGAATGATATAATTACATTAGCACTAATTAATTACTCCAAATAAACATTTACCAGAAATGATAAAAATATTTGGTTGATAAATAAGTGATTGAAGAGCTAAATGAGCATTAAGCGTGTTATATGCAAATCGGCGTTGCTGTTGTTGTTGTTGCTGCTGTCGCTATTAATTAAAAATTTGATAAATAGAGAAGAAAAAATTTAAATTTACAAAATTTAAAAAGAAAATTTTTTTCAGAGAATTTTTTTTTTTTGCTTTTTTTTAATGATCATTTTTACAGTTTCGAAATTTTGTGACGCATATTTTAATCATTTACAAAAATCAAAATTTAATTATTTGATGAAAATTAAAAATTTAAGACGATGTAATAGTTACTTTGTCAACATCTGTTGCTATCATTTTTTCTGTAACAAATGTGAATGCCATATTAACCGGTAAATTATCCACCGGTAAACCATCTTCATTAAAACCGAGTCCTTTTCCATCATCAACACTTAAACGGCGATCTGTAAAAACAAAAATAAATAAATAAAATAAAGTAAAAAATAGAAAAAATAAAAAATTTGGGGAAAAAATTTTTGAAAAAGTAATTAATAATTTTACAATTAGATAATGCAATAAAACTTTCCATTTTCTATAAATTTAAATTTTAAAATTTGACTGCCAAATACTTTGCTAAATTTAAAAGTAATTTTTAACTTACCAAGCATAATTTCAAAATTGCTTTTATTAAATGTTCGAACACCATGTGGAATATTGCTAAAAACTGAAAGACGTTTTGATCGGTCTTGAAGTATCAATGCTGTTGGCATTGGATAATAATTCATTTCTGGTCGATTAGATGTATCATATTCAGCTCGTTTAATTAACTAAAATTTGAATTTAATTAGAAACATTAATTTTCGTTTAATTAATTGAAATTTAAAATGCGTGAATGATTCGATTTTTAACAGTTAATTTTAAAAATTAACAATTTTTTAGGTATAAATAATGCAATGTGCATGTATAAGCAATTATGCAAAATTCATAATTTTTTCTTTTTTTTACAAATCATTAATCGTTTATTTAAGACAAAATAAGTATGGAAGTAAATAAATAAGCACCCTGGAAGATAATAATTTATCATGAATTGTAACATATAAAGCTCAAATTCGGAATGGAATACGATAAACGGATTGAAAAAAAACTGATGTGAATTGAGTAAAGTACCCATTTAAACTAAATTTCAAACATTTTTGATAACAAAATTACAGTATTACTTGCATAATTAAAGCTTACTTGCAAGCCATTACTATCTGTATAAAATTTGATATCATCTGCTATCATATCAGTTGTAAATTTAGTAATTAATTCGACACTTGACATATTTCGTATATCAACACGAAGTTGCATGTGTAAGCGGCTTCCTTCTGCTCCTTTCAACAAATCATTTTTTTTTTAAAAGTTTAAAACTCTAGTGATAAAATTAATTAGTATACGAAATTTTTTTTTTTTGAAGTGAATAATAAAAAATTTACCAAAAAAACTTTGCGCAATCTTTTCTTCAAAATAAAAAAAAGAAAACGAAATTTTGAAAACTAAATTACCTGAAATGTTGTTAACTGAAAGACGTTGCTTTATAAATTCCGATAACGAATAAGCAGTTTGACGTAATGGTCCCGAAACAATAAAAGTTTCTAAGTCAATCATTTTTAATTTCTGAAATTTTTGCTTATTTTAGATAAGTCTTTAATAAAATTATATTGATTAAGAAAAAAAAGGGATAAAATTTCATTTCTTTTGAAATTTAATGAATTTTATTTTTTATTCAATTTATTTTTAATTTGATTCTTTTATAAACAATTACTGATTAAATTTAAAATATATATGTAGCCCGGTTTTTTCAATTCATTCTTTCAATAAATGGATTAATTGCATTTAAAAATGGCAAAATTTATTAATCAAAATTGTTTAAATATTGTAATAAATTCATTTTAGAAATCGATTTTTATTTTATAAATTATTGAAAATACTAATGTGTTAAAAATATATACCGTAAGTTTTGCATTTTGAAGTGCCATTATATATGCTCCACTTAAGGTATTATGGTAATAACTGTATTCCTGTTTACACCGTAATCGTTCTCTGCTACCGTTTGTTGCAATATTCAAATATATTGCCTAATTTTTTTTTCTTTTGTAACTTTATTATTAACAATTAATTTATTTTTCGTTATATTTTTGGAATTAGTCACCATAGATTCAATTAACAAAATCATTTTAATTTTCATTGATTAAAATATCAAGCAAACTTTCGTGAAATTTTTTTTTTAATTCTGATTAATTCTTCGATGTAATTTAAAAAATTTGACGGAAAAAAAAGCTACTTATAACTTTGTACAAATTAAGAAATGCTTTATGCATAAATTGTAATAATTTTAAAAGAGAAAAAATTTGAACAGAATTTCAGGAATTACTTCTAATAATCCACTTTCAGGATTCACTTCCACCAATATTTGTGATGTTTCAAGAACGAATTCATCATTGCTAATTGTTTCAACATGAAAACATCTAAAAAAAAAAGTGATGTTTAAAATGGATGAAATACATTTTCTCAATTTTTGTTCATTTTTAAAAAAAATGAAATTATAACTTTATAATCTTGTAAATAGTTTTTGAGCAAACCATTAAATCATTTTTTCTATCAAAATAATAATACTCTTCACAAGTGATATTCAGGTAATACTCTTAACAAGTGATACTCAGATAATACTCTTAACAAGTAATATTCAGGTAATACTCTCAACAAGTAATATTCAGGTAATACCCTTGACAAGTAATATTCAAGTAATATTCTTAACAAATGATATTCGGGTAGTACTCTTAACAAGTAATATTCAGGTAATACCCTTAACAAGTAATATTCAGGTAATACTCTTAACAAGTAATATTCAGGTAATACTCTCAACAAGTAATATTCAGGTAATACTCTTAACAAGTGATGTTCGGGTAATACTCTTAACAAGTAATATTGTTATACCTAATAATGCTGACATAAAATAAATTATTGACACTTTTTTTTTAAATGTTTTATTTGGAAGATATGCAATATAAGCTAACCGGTATGAAGCATTTAGACTAAAAAACGAATATGGAAATTTGGTGAGTAAAAAAAAGTTTTTCATTTTATGAAAAACGAATAAATAGTTATATTTCATTTTATAATTATGCTATTATCTTGAAAATATCAAATAGAATATAGGAATATAAATAATTATCGTATTTATTGGTAATCAATGAAATACAGCGAAAATCAATAAATCCTTATAGATAATTCGAAAATATTAAACCAACCTTTTTTTTTGTCATTGTTGTCTCTTTATAATTCACATTACTTGCTAGTCTTTTTGTTAAATTTAAATTCAGAAAAAAAAATGAGTAAAATTATACCTTGAAAGGTGTTTTATCATTTGTGACGAATTCATTGGTGTTAAAATTTGAGTGACTTCAATTGTTTTCGAATGATTCTTTTGAATTTTACAATGAATAAGTGATAAAGGTTTGAGAAATATGAAAAAAACCAACTGAAAATCAAAATCAAAAAGAAAAAAAAATCCTGCAATTAAACATGAGCTTGTTACTTTAATTATTTGTAACAGATTGTGATTGATTATTTTGATAAAAACTTCTCTGATATCAAACAATTTGTTGGCTTATTATAAGTAGCTGCAATGAATTTAAAATTTCGAATCAAACTTTGAAAGTTTATCTGCAAGAATTTTAGCTTAATTTAAAGTTCTAAAACAATTTAAAAATATAAAATATAAAAAAATAATTTAAATTACCAAGTAATTTTCGGTAAATTTTCCACTAATTACATCAAAATATGGTTCTATTTGAGCTTGAATAGGTCCATCAGTTCCGATAACAATTATATCCGGATCCGATACTTGCAATTCAATTGTTTCCGTTCTTCCGTATGGCTCACTATTATATATAAGTATTGTCCTATTAAAGGAAGTTTATATTGAATACATTTCATGGGAACGAATGACCAATTTGTTTCTAATTTCATAACGATAATGTATCTTATATAAATGCGTAATATAGTATCACATTTGAGAATTACAGTACCTCATAATACAATATTACACTTGAAGATTATTGTATTACCGATAAATGAGTTCTTAATTATAATTATCGCATTGCTAGAGATATTCTTTTCGAATTTATATTAAAACGCTCTCCCCCTTCCTTGCCAAATAGATCAAAATATAAATTCCAAATAATATCTTTAATTAATCCTTCAAAAGTTTTCTTTTTATTTTTTTATTTTTCCAAACAACTTTGAGAGAAATGTATGCTATAAAACAAATGACATAAGGCTGGACAAAAAAACTCATTACTCATTTTCTAAATTTTCAAATTTGAATTTAAATTGATTTGTATTAAAAATATTAAAATTTTAATTATTTAAGAACAACTAATTAAAATACAACATACCTTGGCTGATCCATATTGATTATTTTTTTGCTGCTACTTTCATTGTACATTAATGGAATATTATCCTGAAATTACAAACTCTTTTTAACATTTCCAATAGTAATTTGAAGGAAAATAAAAAACAACAATTTCCTGTTTTATTTTTTAATTTATTAAAAATTTAATTAAAATTATCAAAGATTACAATTTCAAAATTATTTGAGCGTAGTAATGCGTTTAATGAAATTTTAAGCACATTTTCGGCAATTTTTACTGATGTAAACATACGCTTTGAATAATCTTTCATTACATGATTTTTGCTTGTTCCTGCAAAACAAAAAAATTGAACGCTTTTTCTTTTTTTGCTTTTTTACAATTTTTTTTTCAATTTAATAAAATTGCAGTAAATTGAATGGATTACAAAAGGAAAAATCAAATTTCGTCAGCAAATTTCTCAATTATAACAATATATAGAAATATAAGTTAAAAAAAGAAAAGAGAGGGAGGGAGAGAGAGAGAGAGAGAGAAAAAGAGAAAAGTATAATTCGTTATATAAAAATTTGAGTAAAAGTAAAAATTGTTTCGTTAAATTAAATTGTAATTTGAATACAAATTGAATTATACTTTTTTTTTATCAGTAAACATATAATAATATAAGCAAAGAAAAGAGAGAGCGAGAGAGAGACGGATAAGGAATAAATGATAAAATTTATCATTTACCTGTGATAGCATCATGATGTTGAAAAAGTGCTAGATTTCGTCGAGCTATTGTAAGTTGTTGTTGAATAAAGTGGCGCTTTTTACTTGATAAATGCGCAAAAGCACTGGTACTTAACAAATCTGCTACTCTTATAAATGACTGGAAAATTTTTCATAAATTTAAAATTTCTGAATATTTTTGATGAAAAAATAATTGGCATTTCAAAAGTTTTTCAATTATTTAATTAAATGTGTAAAAATAGTTAAATATTTATTTGTCAAATAATTGACAGTAAGTTTAAAGCTAATTTTATGCTCTGCTCAGAAAAGAATGAAAGAAATTGCATTATATTAATAAAATATATTTTGAATTCATTTCAAAAATTTTACAATAAACTATTTCCAATCGTCTAGATTAGAAAATATATAAGTTAGAATTATAAAATTAGTACAAATTAAAATTTTATGGAATAATTTAAGGTTTTTTGAGCTAAAATTTACATACTGATAATAAAATAGCTATATGAAAAGGCTATTTTTTAAGCCGAAATTTAATTCGAAAATTAACATGTAGCTCTCGTTCTTGTCTTTTATAAAATGGTCGCGTGGTGTAATAGCCAGTCCAATAATCACCTGCAGCACATTGATAAGGAAAGAAATCACCAGATAAAGTTGGTGGTGTATGATTTTTAGCATTATTGTTTCGTTCTAATGCATTAAAATATTCCGTTAACGTACCAAACCTGTATTTTTTAATTAAAAAATTTAAAAATTCGTAATTTACTCGATTTTTCAATTTTCTAATGAAAATTCAAAATATGACGAAAAAATAAATTGATAAATTCAATAAAATTAATCGATGTTTTTTCAGTGTTTTCATACTATTACGGGTATGAGTGAATGAAATTTTTGCAAAGATTTTAAAAGTAAAAATGTAAAAAATGTTTTTAGAAAATTTTAAATTTCAATTTGATTAATTTAAATTTAGGAAAGATTAATTTCAAAGATATGAGTAATATAAAAGAAAATATAAATGTTTAACCTAATTTTTGTATGCTTGGAATTTTTATTAATATAGTCAAATAGTAATATCAAATTATCATATTGTTGATACCATTCTTCTAATTCATCATATCGAAAATCATCACCCCAAACTGATAATAAAATATTGCTTCCTTGTTGAAATGACATTTTTAGGAATGCTTCTTCTAATTTTAATGCCCTAAATAGAAAATTATTATCGCTCCAATTTATTTTAAATATTGTATATTTTTTAAAATACTTTTTCAAAAATCAATTGCAAATTTTTCTGCAAAACACTTATTAGATAAATGAGTTAAAATAAATTAAGTTATTCGTTAAATCCCATTGCTGTTTTGCTCGATCAGCAACATTATCATCATATCTTTTTGATAATATTATCATCATATCTTCTAACATTATTATCATATCTTTCTAATAACATTATCATCACATCTTTTCTCTAACATTCATCGTATCTTTCTGATATGCCAATTTTTTTCGTTTCATGTGGATTAATTGAGGGAAATATTTTTTGAATAAAAATTCAATTAAATAAAACTTGAAATTCCTAAACTTCTCATTTACCTTATATGAATGCTTAAATTTGTGATTGGTGCAGGCGCAATATTAGAACATTTAAAATGATTCATCCTTCTAAAATCATACTGACAGCATAAATCCGGATCCGGTCCGCAACTATTTAATATATCATAATGATTATATGGTAATACATGCGTATGCATTTCATTTTCACCATTTACATCTGTAGTTTAAAAAAAAAAATATCCAACCGTCATGAAATATTTTGAGTATTTCATTATTGAATATTTGTTTTATCAAAATTCAATATGAAAATTTCGTTCAATATGCTATTTTCATATATGTTATGAAATTTATTAATCAATTTCGCTTTATACGAATAAATTTCTATTACGAATTAATGTCGAATTTTTGCCCAATAAAACATTTTGATTCAAATTTATTAAAGTGAAATCACAAAAAAATTATTAATAATAATTGAAAAATTGAAAGAATTGAAAAAATCACTTTTTTTAATCACTTTAAAAATGATATTTTCTTAATTTTGCATTAATATGTGAATGAAATTATAATCAAAAATTATTAGAGTTAAAAATTACCAAAAAATTGTCGCCAATGGAATGATAGCGCTCCATGTTCCCGTAGAAAATTTTTCAAATTATAATGAATTCGATTAATTACACCACGATTGATACCTGTTTTTGTATACAAATATGGTACCGTTGGTCCATAACCAAATGGATCATTTGACCACATCACTTCAGCTTTTGCGTCTAAAATAATTTTTATTTCCTTTTCCTACTCATTAAAATTATTTAATTTAATTTTTAATTCAGTATGAATAAACCTGAAAATTGGAATAAACAATGTACATACACATAAGAGATGTAGTCCGTATGATAATTAATTAATTTTTTGAACTGAAAAAAAAGTTTTAAATTGAAAAGTTTCAAAATTTTGCTCTGAAATCACAAAAAAAAGTGTAATTATATTGTCCTTCATTAATTAGCCTTTTTTTCTTCACATTTTGGTTGGGAGATTGAAACGAAATAAGTGATGCAAAAAAAAGATATGACTAATGAAATTTTTGACAAAAAAAAATTAATTAAATAAAAATTAATTGGCCAAAGAAGAAATGTAGCCAAAAGAATGAAAATTTCGACCAGAAAAAAAAGATTTAGTTGAAACTTTATACTTAATTCATTGTACACATATTGCTGTCCTTCGATAATATTATCTACAATAGATGGAAAATATGTTGTTGCTTCATCTGTCATTACCCAAGAACCACTTACAATTTCCAGTTGTTTATTTTCAATAAACCTGAAAAGGATTCTTTTCGAATTCTTAATTACTTTTAATTGTTTGATAATAATCAGACCGTTTCTTGTAAACTTTCAATTATTTAACAATAATTTAATTTCACTATTTCACTACTTCATTTACAAAAAAAAAAAGAAAGAGGCGACGAATCATCGAATGAAATAATTAAATTTTTTTCTTTTTTGTAAATAAGAACTGAGTTTGAAAAAAAAATAAATTTTATATCAGTGATGAAGTAATTAAAATTTTTCAAAAATATAACAATTAAATTCAAGTGGAAATGAACATTAAAAATTTAAAAACTTAATTATTTATTACTTTCGTATCAAACGTTTAACAGTGTCATTTTGCATTGTCAACCATCGTTCCAGAAATGCAATTTCACACCACATGAAACGCATCCGTGGATGATTTTGCATAAATGCAATCATATTATTCAAAATGGCGTTTGTTTTTTTCAAATAACTGTTGAATGTTTCTAGCCAACCTAAAATTTATTCAAATTAGCTAATTCTTTTTATAAAATTAAGGAAAGACTTTTTTAAACTTATTCTTCTTTCTTTCATTGTAATTTAACAAAAAATAAAATAAAATAAAATTTTAAATTATAGAATACATTTGAAAAGATTTTTTTTCACAATTTTTCAACAAAATTTTCCGTATATAATTTTTCAGAAAATAACAAACAATAATGATTTTTTAAAATAATTACAAAATATGATACATAAATGATAATTAATTAATTAATTAATTAATGGATAATATTTTGCAAAATGTATGAACTACGCTCAACTTCAACAAATTAATAACTTATGATATTATCATAGCAATGGATATTAATCAAAACGGATCAGTTCAATTGTTTATTTTTTAGATCAAATATAAAATCAGAACAAACATTTTCATAATTCAAATTTATATCGAATATTATCGTAAGCTATAAATACTTCTTTCATATTTTGTTTTTACTTTTACTTTTTACTTTACTCTTACTTATATCTGGTTAAGTAATAAAGTAAATGCGACAATATTTTGGAAAGAAACAAAATGGCCAAGTGATACGTCTATACTTACCTGGATCAACATGTGTAAAGGGTAAAACATATACTTCTGTTATGTCTAAAATATCTTTCTCCCTCACTTTATAACGATTCTCTGATATTTGTCTTAAAGCGACAATTTCTCGAAACATATCAAATGTCTAAATAAAAGTTTAATTAGCATCAGAAAATGACGATAACATGTTATAAAGGGAAGTAAATCCGGAATTGTTATATTCTATTAAAAAAAGTAATCAAAATTTTAATTAATTAAAAAACAGGTAACGAAAGAAGGATGAAAAGAGTTAAAAAAACAAGTGGGACTGTAGAAGTCATATTTAATTATCAATGGTTAAGAAGGAAAAAAGAAACGAATTCATTTCTTAATGCTAAATTCTATTTCTTAATGCTAAATTCTAAATTATCATTAAAAATGCAAAACTTTAAATATGAACGAAATTTCGTAAACTAACTATGAGATGATTTATATTGTTAATTAGTATGGAAATGGATTGAATTTTAGTAATTCATTAATTGATGAATGCTTAATATAGCAGTTTTTCATTTCCGTTTTCTTTTTGTTCATTTTAAAATCCTGAGTTATGAAATTACGGATGAAATTAAAATTGAATACTTCTTGATATCATCAATATTTGAAACTGACTAAGTGGATTTAAATGTTAAATTCAAACAAGTTTTTGAAGAATCGAAATTATTGTTTTGTACTAACTGACAAAAAATTGAATTAGTTTAATTATCATGTAAATGCAATTTTTGTTCTTTTCTTTCCTAAATTAAATATTATTTTTAAGAAATTTTTATAAAATTAAAAACAAATGCTATTTTAAAAAAGAAAAATGAGTTTAAAGGAAATTAAGAAATCGAAAAGAGAAAGAATTTAAATTTCTTTCTCTAGTTTATTTATCTAACTTATTTTGAAAAATTAAACTGACAATTTTGGCTAATTTGTAATCAATGATTTGAATTGATAATATGCAATGATTAAAACGATAATTTGAGATAAATTATGGCAATTTTTAAAAATTTACTATAACATTTATCTTTTGAATTAATGCAAATTTTAACTGTTACATTAAATTCAACTTTTGCTTCCATTGGATATGTTTGAATGCATTGAAATATTGTTTCGTTACTTTCTTCTTCATTATTAAAATTTAACAAATTTGAAATCAATGATGTTGCTGGCGGAATAGTTCGAAATTTGATCTGAAATTTCAAAATTAATTCACCAAAATTAAGCACATATATTGAAATTCATCTCTTCTATTAACTTAAAAATACTTTTAATAAAAGTTTTCCATTAAAATTTATCTCAAAGATTAAATGATCATTTTAAAAAAAAAAAATTGAAAAAAAATTGATAAAATTGATATAAGATTTAAGTATATCAATTTTGTATCGAATTAAGATATTGCAACTAAATACTAAAAATTTGAAATGATTCATAGAAATAAAACATTTAAAGTGTTGTTTAATGGTAAAAATTGTGAGAAATTGATTGATCAATCCATTAATTAATTAATTAATTGATTAGCAAAAAGTGTAAAGTTTGGCGAGGATTTTAAAATGAAAAATCTTACCAAAAAAAAGGAAAATATACAAAATCCAATCCAAAAAATATAACGCTTGCAATGAGCACATAGAAATGGGCTAATTATTATTTTGACCATCTTCCTGCAAATACCAATTATCCATTCATTTAAATAGGCTAATTAAAAAGTTTCCTTTTGATACATTTACAGTTTATCATATTTATCACCGTTATGAACAGTTTATCATACTTATCATTGCCATGAAAGTGATAAAATGTGTTCTGGTAGTGATCGAGTGTGTCCTAATAGTGATAAAAACTGTCTTGATAGCGATAAATTATGCCTTGATAACTATTCAAGGCTATGCTTGATTTAGTATACATACACGTAACTGACAAAAACGAAAGGTCAAAGGTCATCACTTTCCATTTTAGTCAAAAAAGAAATCAATATTTATGATTAATTATTTTTTTCTCTTCTTTTACTCAAATCTATTAAGTTATGATTAATTATTATTTGTGAGAAAATTTCATTTTTCAATTCAGATTTCTTTGAAAAAATAAAGAAAAATGAAAAAATAACGAATATAACACATATAGGTTGGGAATAGGGAAATATTATAGTTAAATATGAAATCTTTTCATTTTTTGAAACAATCAATAAAATATATTTTTTCTCATTCAATTAAATATGCAAATTATACACGAATATGCAAATTACATACTTTTCTCATCCATTTCATTTGATTTGATTTAAACATTACAAAAAATTAATTTCTAATTATTTCATAGTTTTTTTTCCAAAAAAAGAAAAAAGAAAATTGTATTGTATTTTGACAGTTTTAGGAAAGCAGATAGCTAATTAAAAAGCAGATAGCTAATTAAAAATAGCCTATTCTGTATTCTATAATTTTTCTAAAATACCACAGGATTATCTTTTTCACTATCAAGCAATTTACACACCATAGCATCTCATTTCATTTAAACTACTAATAGTTCAATTAATAAATATTAAATATAAGTAATTAAGCAATAACAAGTCAAAGTAAATAGGCAATAAATTTATCAATAATGCATCTGTTTTAGATATAAAGTAAACATGAGCTTTTAAATTATCAATAAATTTATCTTTGTTTCTAATTACCAGTAAATTAAACAATCGTTGGTTTTAATTATCAGTGAATGAAATTATTTTTATCTGTAAGTTAATTTTTTAAAATGAAAGAAAAAAAATTGAGCCAAACTATCAAATTGTTATATAAAATTTCTTCTTTATGCTTTAACAGTTGTTGTGTAATTTAAGCTCATATGATGGTAATCTTTTGAAGCTAAGTTTAAAAGTTTTAGCTATTGTGATAAAATGGAAAGAAAAAAAAGATTCTAAAAGCTTTTGAACTTTGAACCTTGAGGGTTTTCTCTTTTGTTTTTTCTTTGGCATACTACAGAAAAAAAATATATGCTTATAAATTATCGTATAAATTATCAGTATCCAACCTTTTATTATGAAAGATAAGTTAACAAATGAATAAGTTAGAATAAATGCTTCTTTAAAAGATGAAAAATATGTAAAATATAAAAAATAAAATAAAAAATGTGTTTTTTTTTCACAGGACAGACGATAACTGATAGCGAGTTTGCCAATAATTTCAATTGATAAAAAGTGAACAAAAATTTAAGTAAAAAATTTAGAAATTAAATTTTTATTAAAATAATAAGAATAGTTGTTGGAAAAGTAGATGATAAAATCGAATACAAATCTTTCTATTTTTCAATTTAATTTAATCGTAGAAAAGCTATTTGAATGTGTAAATTTGTTCTTTATCAATCAATACTATTCGATCATTTTTTGAAAGAAAAATTCATAAATCTATTTGAAATACTATCAAAGATTTGAGGACTTCCTGGAATGATAGCTGAATAGATGTTAATGAATAATCACATCATCAAGGAAATTTACAATTTATGTATGAATGATAAGAAATCTGGCCTAGTTAATAAATTACGCAATTATTTGATTAAGTGATAATGTGATTGAGTGAGTGATAAGGATATTTTGCCAAATGATTGTTATAATTTTTGAGGGAAAGATAAAAGGAATATTTGAATATGTTTATATTTTAATGGAAAATTTTTGAGATCAATTTTAAAAACAAAAAACAAAACAGAAACACTTTTTTTTTTCTTAGAAATGACAGAATAAAGGTAAGAAAAAGAAAAAAGAAATGAGCGTATATTAATTAATAATGGACGAAGTAATAATAATTAGTGATAAAATACTGATAGCAATTGCACGATGGTTATTGTAAAAATTGTAGATATCAGGAAGTAATGTTAATTAATTACGAATAATGAATTCTCAAACAGGCATGAAAAAATTTTTTTAGCATTTTGAAAATTTGCATAAACACTAGTCACCATAAATAAATGGTACAAAACAGCGGAAACTTGAAATATAACAATAATTAGCTGAGATGGAACAGTATAATTAGCTGGATCATTACGATAATAATATTTAAATATTTCAATACTAATTTGAAAAATTTTAAAAAATAAGAAACAAAAATTATTCCTTCATAAGTAACTTATACTAAACAAATTTTAATTAAATTTTAAATTTCTATTTTACTTTTCAAAAAAAGTATGCATTTTCAGCATTTTAACAAATTATTTGATAAAAATTTAAACAAAAATCATTAAAATAAAATAAACAATGAAAGTGAAAAGAACATAGAAAAGATGTCATCCTGCGGAAAATTAAATCAATTTCAAATTTACACTCAATTCATACGGTAGGCACAAATATCTATATTTATCGTAATCATTTTCACACATATTATTAATATACAAATTAGCAAATATCACGCATATCATATCAATATGATTGCTTCATCGATTGAATTTATTTTAATAAATTGTAATTGTTAAAGTAAAAGGTGTGAAAAAAAAATATTTTCAATAATAAAATGTGATGTTTTCGGCAATTAAAAATAATACAAATTTTCTATTAATTGTAAAATTGCATTTAAATCGCACCTTTACTTATTTTATTTTTTTATTCCTTTTTTTTTTTAAATTAACTTCCAATGATATCTTTGTATTTTTTCTTCCAATTCAAAGAGAAGAAAAAAGAAAAAAAAAACCGGATAGAAATTAAGTGAAAAAATGACATCCATTATGATTGCGTAATATTTTCCATATGATTTGATTATGGATTTTCTTCAGGAAATTATCGTACAAAATTTTCAATGATATTTCCGGAATAAAAATCCATTCAAAAATTTCGAACCATTGTATTATTTTATAATTTGAACGCGTAATTAACCTGGGCAGTGAGCATAAATTTATCGCATTTCATTTCAAATAATTATTTTATTTGAAAAAATTTTTCAAAAATTATCGCACTTATACTATCAACATCATTTTATGATTTATTTATTTAAATGACTAATTATTTTGTTCATTCAAATATTTACAATTCTATTCATCGTTTTCAATCAAATCTTGTTTGGATAACCCAAAAAAAGAAAATAAATGAATAAATACATTTTAAGTTAATATTTTGATAACTTTTAAATACGCACAACTATTATCATCATACTC